GACATGAGCAAAAGTTGCTTTATGCATGCAGCCAGTTTTGATAAATGATTTCATGTTGCAACTCATCCAAGCCTCCCACTCAGCTCAGAGTGCCACTCTAAACACGAGATTTATACTGAAATCAAGTGGCAGTAAATACTTTGTTTTGCCCCAAGGAATCACAGCTGGAATTAAGTTTTTCCTCTTGATGGCTGTTTTCATAGAATCTGTTGAATAGGCCATGATGTCCAGAGGTAGAAAGATTTCTTTCTGTAAAAAATTCTTTGTAGGCAATTGGGTTATTGAAGCCTAATGGCTGAAAGAGTCAGTCATTCTTTTATCAAGCTTTCTCTCATCCACCCTTTTTTGTTGATTTATTTTGAGGAATTTTTTAAATCAGCTTAAAAACAGCATTAGTGGAAGCTTTTGTCTGAATGCAGTGAAGTTTTGAAAACTAGTGAAATGTGTTCTCTTATGATCTTTGTTTTTGTTTAGTGTCATGTACAATTCACTATTTTTATTAACAGTCCAAGTAAGAGGCAGATAAAACATCAAAGATGTATCAACCATATTTGTTCTCTGGTCAAATTAAATTCTGGCCCTAGCTTAAAAACTAAATTGGTGAAAGTTTGTAACCTTTTCTTTGTAGTCAAGAGGGCATTGTCCATGTTCTATTGGACAGGCCTTTTTGTCTCATAAATCTAAGACACCACAATGGTCAACTTCTAGAATTTTCAAGGCTCAGAACAGAGGATCCACTATTAAAGGCAGTCAGCCAGATATCTCAATATAATTTATTTATAAACGACAAATTGGCGATGGCAGCAAGGGCTTCTAAAACAAGAACATCTGGTCTTAAAAGTCAGTCCATGCCCAGAGGAAGAGGTAGGTTTCAGCATCCTAGACGCTGAAGCCTTGAAGACTTCAGAACTGGCAGATCAGATCCAAGCAGACGAAGGAGGGCAGGACAATCCAGAGAACAAAGACAGAGCCGGTGTCAAGGCAAGAAGATCAGAGATCCTATGAGGCACCGGTGTCAGGTGCTTCTTAGGCTTCCTGACAGGTTGGTGTCAGGTAGAAGATTCAGGTTTGGTCAACAGGTAGATCCAGCAAGAGTCCGAGGAAAGGTCAGGCAAAGAAATCAGAAGGGGAACAGGCAGACTCAGAGGTCCAAAGGCAGAACAGGTCAGGATCAGGCAATCAGAACACAATCAGGAACACTAGAGAGCTCTTACCAAAGGCTCAAGGAATCTGACACTGATGACTGGTTAGAGGGCTGGTTAACTAGAAGCAGGAGCAGATGGATCAAATGAACGGCAATGAGAAACTGTGCGGACTAAGACTGGTGAATGATCCAAGATCATGACAAAAATGTTCATTCTTCTTTCTGTAGTAGTTTGAAGAGGAAAATAAAATTGTAAAAAAAAAAACGACAAAAAAGTAGAACTTAACCCGGCAATACTTAAATAACCTAAACTATACCAGTCAATTCCACAAGGATTTGCTTAGAATAAAAAAATGGAGAGGGAGCCCCTGAGCACGGACTTGAAACAAGGTGAAACAAGAAGCATCTTAAATATCTTACAGCCAAAAGAAGGAAAATGGCAAACCTTTTTGAAATATTGTTTGAGATTGTTACTTAAGCCCCATTTACACTACCCTCTGAAAACCGATCTGCGCTAACTTGGATCAATTAACCAAGCCGAGCTTCTTTATTATGACCATTTACACACCACGCCAGCACGGTTCCTTGCCTCCTAGAAGCGATCTACAGTACTACTGCTCTCTAGAGGGAAGCAAGCAAATCAACATTGCAGCGCCCATAACATTCAGCAAGTTTGGTTATAATTGTGATATTTCATTATTTGTGGAGTGTCAGGCAGCCTTTGGTGAATTTACTTGACAAAGTCGGCTTTTGGGAAGTAGATATGACAAACGATTGTCTAATCAGGCTCACAGACGCAGGAAAAATTACAGATGTTGAGGTTCATCACACTGCAAACCAGAATCATCACTGGAAATCGTATTTTTTAAATTTCATTATTACGGAGACTGACTGTAATGAGATGACGTGGTCTGCTCATACGCTCTTTGTTATCTAAGAACCAAGCCTCAACTGAACTGTGCCAAGCCCTACTGATGAACTAGGGCCAGTTTAGCATGGTTTGGTTGTGTCTGGCACGGTACAGTTTTCTGTGCCATCTACACTCAACAGTGATCTTAGTTACTGTGCTCGGACCAATCTTGGCATGATTTCAAAAGGGTAGTGTAATTGGGGCTATAGTTACAGCAAGCAACAAGTCATTTTATCCAAAAAGAATAAATATACATAATTGAGGTTGAAGTGTTAGTACCTTTTTTTTTTTTTAACACAAATGAAGATTTACATAGGTGTTCCTAATGTTGGGTTAAAATTAGCCATTTGCTGATTTCTTGTTTTTTTTTTTGCTTGAATGTCACAACATCAAATTTATCTAACAAAGGTAAACACAAGATGCAGTTGGTCTGTAAAAAAATAAAAAATAAAATAATCCCCGTGTTAAAAAATGATGTCCAAAGATTTTTTATCACACCTGATTTCCCTTCCTCCAGCCTTACCAAGCCCTGATTAATGTGGGGTAAACACTTACACACATCTCCTTATTTACATGCATCATTAGTTTTACATACAATCAAAATGCCAAATTTATAAATGAAGGCAATCAGCGGAGCATGTAATTTTGCATTGTGAAAATTTTGATATCATAATATTTAACAGGCCAATAATTCTTTTCATGTACAGTAAACTGGGTTAATAGTGTAGAGAAAGGACAATGGACAAAACTGTGTTTTCCATAGAGACACGGGGACCATGACAGAGTCATGGGGTGTGTGCGGGTAGAGGAACCTAGAGAGGTGTGTGTGTACGTTGCAGAGGGATGATAAATGAGTCTACACCCCACTGTCATTTGTACTTTGGCATCAAGTCCAAAGCACAATTTGGAGTAAAATATTGCTGCAGCCCCTTCAAATGACAAACTTTAATGCTGATGTATGAATGGACAGAGGCCATATCGAGTTGTAATTGAACAGTGGGAGGTATATATTCTTCTTAAAGGGCAACTAATTAGTGTTTACAAAACCAGTGGAAAGGATGGACACTATAAAAGGACAGGCTTCTCTGATGTTACATGTAACAGCACAACAACACCAAATCAGTGATCAGTGATCAGCCAAAAAAATTAATACATAAAAAATAAAGGAAATTGTTAACTGTGGAAATCTAACAAATTTTGGATTTATTCAAAATATTTTTTCTATAGCACAATTTACAAACAACTGCATACTTTCTGCCAGAATGACAATTTTTTTATTTAAAAAAAATGCTTTCCCGTCTGCATTTGTTTTCTTGTTATGTGTCATTTCTGGAGTGACTCCAATATTGCAGATAGAGAAAAAACTACATTTGTCACTTTTTACTTTACTTACCATTAAACAAAGGATTTTCACAAACTATTTCAGTGTAGTTGCTTGTTTTGTGAAAACTAACCACCTTTACCTAGTGTGTGAATCTTTACGTGATTCTTTGTAGGTACATCATGAAAATCTTTGTTTTAGAAATTGGTTTCACCCCAGCCCAGGCCAGATTTCTGCATTTACACATAGCCATGAGCATATCAAGTTCCATTAAAGAAGTAAGGAATTATAAAAATATGTATGGAAACATTTAGCATTATATCCATCAGTATGTTCTATCCAGAACTCCTCAAGTGGAAAAGTTTTAGTTTCACTGGTTTAATTTCATAAAACGTCTTCTTGAAAGAATCTTTTGCTATCTGATTATTAATTGATTAATCGAAAAAAAAAATTTGACAGATTAATCAATTTGCAAAATAATCGTTAGTTGCAGCCCTTGTTGAAACCCAAAGGAAATTTACAATCATCTCCCTTGTTTTATTCACATTCTGAATTAGATGCTTTTTTTCTACATCATGCCACAGAGAGTTTAACAAGTTCACTCCACTGCACCTGAAATCTGAGGTGTACAATACAAAAAGTAATGGTTTAAGAGATGCTGTATGTATGCTGAATCCCATTGAGCTGCTCTGTACAGACTTTCAGGATTCCGATCTTTTGAAACTGGAACCTTATTCCATTCCAGCTTTCCTGCTGCCGTTTTACCTGACTTTTAGAGACAGACCGGTGGGTGAGGAAAAGGTAGCAGCATGCTAATTTTGTTGAGAAAGAACACATAGAAGAATGGCTTATTGTTAAGGTGGAATATTACATAAGCCAAAAAAAAATCTCAATACAATAAGGTACATGAATTGTTTTTTTTTTTATTTTGCCACAAAAATATTGGCTAGGAATAGAAATTTGATCACATATTATTTTTAATTTTTGTGCCCCAACTTGTTGTTGCACCCCTGCTGCAATAACAACTTGACTATTCTCTTAACACACAAACAATGAAGAAGTGATAAAGCATTCAAACCAAACTTACTAAAAAAATAGGAATAATATATTTTTTTATTTGAATAAAATAATGCATTTGATTTCACAAGTTATCCATACATTATAAGGCTATCAATTTGAGCCTTCTGTTGGTTGTCATGTTTAAGTTTCTTGGTAGAGTTCTGAATTCTTCAAGTAAAATGAATACATTTTAGATAAAACAAATAATAAAGAATTTTTGAACTGATATAAATCAAACTTTAAGCTTTAAAAACAGGTAGCAAATTTAACCAAACAGACAACAGGAATGGTAGCTTTGAAAAGAGACACAGAGAATGTCTGAATAATTGCAAACAACTCGTCATTTACCAAATAATCAACCCACACAAGGGAGAGAATTTGAGGAGTCATGTAGCTATCGGTCCGCCTGCTGGAATGCATCGCTTGTGTTTTTTAGTTTTTTTCTGCATAATTCCAAGCAGAAATGCAGCAAAACAAGATTTAAATTTTCCGCAAAAAAAAAAAGGCCAGCCCACCTTAGAATTTCAAAACAGTTCCAGAGGGTAAAACTTGCCCCTATAAAAGGACTGGAGAATAGACAGTCATCTCACTGGACTTAGCGAACTTCTAGCTAAGTTCCCTCTTATTTTCTAAGGTAATTTTTTTGGTCATTTTAGTGCACTTATTGAAAGTAATGATTAGATGTTTACTGGAAAGAAAGAAAAAACTCTCTGTGAATAATAATCTTTCTTTTTAAGAGTCAAAGAACATCTGATCTCTGCAATGATGATCAAGCAGGTATTTATTTGTGGTAACATTATAACACTTGTTTTGAGCACCATTAATAAATGATGACAACCTATATATATAAATTCTGTTTCTTAGACAAGCCTTGCCATTGCTGCAGTCCTGCTGCTTGGTATGTTCAGTGTATAAACACCTATCTACAAAAAAATTCCTCTGATATCTATGTTGTTCAAAAACAGTAACTATGGTTATTTTCTTTTTATTCCACAGGTTATGTTGGACCAAGTCAACAAGGTGATAAACTGTGTATTGGTTTTAAAAAGCATCAAACCAAACTCCAGTCTTTTGTTCCACAATTGTTAGAACTCTGAAATGTTGTTAATTTTGACTATTAAATGTATTTTATTTGTTTCTTTATGGTTTCAATTTTCATTTTTCACTTTATTTTAGTACCAGGCTGCAGCAATCCTCCCCACATTCGTAAGTACCAATACCTTTGATTTCAGCCTAGTTAAATAAATACCTTCAGTCAAATACTGAACAGCCTAAATTTGAGATGTGTTATTCCAGAGGAATGGACACAGTGGTTTGATAGAGATAATCCTTCTGGAACTGGAGACTGGGAGACTTTAGATGATCTTCGCAAAGAGAATCCAGGGCAGATCTGCCTTGACCCCAGAGATATTGAGGCTTTGACTGTTTCAGGAATTACTGTTAGTGCGGCTGGGGAGACACTTTATCGGTAAGTGTGGTAAAGTGTGCGTTTTTTAATTGTTATACACAGCTCAATGATAAAGAACATTCAATATGTTCGACAACATCCTGAAACAGATACAATAGAAATACATCATAAGAGAACGCAAGAAAATTTACAAGGAAATATGCAAAGACAAACTTGTATCAAACAGATTTTTTACTGTTGTGGATGTTTACGCTAACATAATTTTTAAACATGCCAGGTAACAGTATACTTAGGATTTATGTAAGAATGCTGTTTTTACAATATATAATCATTTCTCAAGTATTCCAATTTAGCTTGTTATGTTATCTAGTTGTAAAAGTTGTTTGTTTCATGTTCGTGTGTGCCAACCTTACTATGTCTTTATTATGGTTTGAAATGAGTATTTCTGTTTTGAATGAAAACATGGTATTCAAACCAGCTAGGACTATCTGAAAAAAAAAAACTTTCTATTTCTGTTTGTTCTTGTTTGTCTTGTCCTAAAATGTTGCTAGTGTTATGCAAGAAGTAAAATGATCGATGCCTTTCAAAAATGATCAACTTTTTTTATTTGTCAAAATATCAGCCTAAAGGTCTAAAAGATGAATGACATTTTTTGGCAAATCTTAGAAGTGCCTTTGTGGCCTTTTAATCAAGTAGTGTTTTTAGCTCTGGAGCGCTTCCATGAAAACCATGTTCCCCTTTGTCTTCCTTAATTTTGCATCTTGCTGTGCTTTGGAGGATGTCCTGTTTTCTTTTTATTTATTGTTTTTCTATCATGAACACCTTTATACATTTTAATGAAAATTAGAAGATCAGCTACGTAGGCCAACACTATTCCATAGTTTTTTCCATTTGAAGTTAATACAAACTGTTCTTCATCAGTGCCTGAAAGCCTAAAACACTTTGCAAACCTTTGTAAAGGTCAGGACATTAAATTCCAGAAGTTAATATCTTTTTTTGACATGCTTCGGTCACAGTTTGTTTCTTTCTTTTCAGGTATGATCTTAAATCTGGACTGATATGCCGGAATAAGGATCAGGATGACCGATATTGCTATGACTATAAAGTTCGCTTCAGCTGCGAAGCTACATCCTGTAAAAATGGTACTTATGTTTTATGGTACTCATTTGAAATAAACTTTTAAGGCACTGGATTAAGAGTTTATTCAACCATCTTTCTTCTATAATTTAATCTTTCTACTACATTAGTACAGTTGTTTGACTATTTGCTCTTGCAGTGTGCTGGACTAAATGGTACAATCGAGATAAGCCCAGTGGATCAGGGGACTGGGAGCATCTGAGTGCCCTGATCAAAGAAAATCCAGGAAGCCACCTTTGTTCTGAACCTGTGTACATCGAAGCTGTTACCGTTGATGACAGCATCCCAGCCATCAGAACAGGACAGAACTTCTATTCGTAAGTTGTCCTAGAAAATATTTCATATCCAAATTACCATAGTTTCCTTTATATTTGTATTATTGAATTGAAGCATATGCTACCACATTACACTTATATTTGACACAAAAGTATGAACATTCAGGAGAATATTTAGCATACATTATATAAGGACATAACAATGGTTCACACTGTCTTCAATTTAATTTGTAAGTTAGTAAATTGATACTATTGCTTTGAGTGAAACTGATAGCAAACCATAATGATTAATATCATCACACCTAATTCTTAAACACCATTAAAGCTGTTTCATTTGTGAGATTAAAAGAACATGTGCAAATTTACCATAAATTCCTCTCATTCAGCTACAGTCCCACAAAAGGGTTGGTTTGCCGTAATCAGGACCAGAGTAATGGCAGCTGCAGAGATTACAAAGTACGCTTCGGATGCTCCTGTCCCTAGGCGACCTAAAGCCAGTGAAGGCCATGCAGGAGGGTCCAAGGAAACAACCAAATCATGCCTGTCTATTTGGGTTAAAGCCAAGGCAATGGAAAAAATGGAAAATTGTGATCTGTCTACTATGGAGAATGAATAAAGGATAGAAACTAATCGTAAACCTTTTTTTTTCTGATATATTTTTTTCTGATTGATTTAAATTTCCAATTCTCAAATATAATGTTTATGTCATGATTGGTGTCAGAGAGTAAGCCCAAGATGCAGAACACACACGGAGGCACTGGTAAAAGTCCAAAGAGTTTATTTAAGGCACAAGCACAATGAAATGAACAGGTACAGTTCAGTCCGGGGGGGGCTGGTTCACTGGGGTCCGAGCAGGGAAATGGAGATGGTTGGTTTCAGAGTTCATGAGGGGCCAAGCCTCTAGCTGTTAGCTTAGCAAAGCTAACTAAGATCTGAGCTTCCAGCTCAACTCAGAGAACAACAGGGAAGACACGGGAAATCCACATGGGAACCTCTAGGGAAACTCCACATAGGGGTCGTCAGGTTTCAACCATGTGGGAATCTTCGGGTTGGCTCACCATGGCAGCTTAGCAGGTTAGGTTTTCCAAGAGCTTCAGGCTTGAGACTGGTTTCCTGTGATGCAGCTCTCCCAGAGCTGCAGACCGGAGACAGGTTGCCAGGGAGACAGCTCTACCAGAGCTTCACGAAGGGACAGGAGGTTAAGCTCTTCCAGAGCTTCACGAGGAGACAGGAGGTTAAGCTCATCCAGAGCTTTCACGAAGAGGCAGGAGGTTAAGCTCATCCAGAGCTTTCACGAAGAGACAGGATCCCTGTGAGGCAGAGATAAGAGATGTTAGAATCTGGTCTCGACCTAGGAACAACCAAGACTCAGTCAATAGCAGAAGGTTCAGGAAGCTAACCAACTAAGATCAACACTGCGGCGTGGAATCAAGGTCTGAAGTCAGCTTATATACTGTGGTCCTCCTGATTAGTAGATCAGCCACAGGTGTGTGGGAGGTTCAGCTCAGGAGGACCCACGGCGCACTCTGCTGGAGGCAGAGGGTAATCTCCAGAACCTTGGGACTCCAGCCCTAAGGGAAAGACAAAGAAAGCAGAAGAGGATCCTCGGCGCCCTCTGGTGGGCAAGCCTGAGGATCCCAACAGTTTATGCTTGTGACTGTGACTTTTTTTTCTTGGTGTCTTTAAAAAATGTAAGGAGGTGATAGGTCTTTGTCTGTTTGTAAGTGGCAATGGAATAACTTTAATGATTAAAAAAAAACTATGGAAAATAAAAGCAAATGAAAATTATTGATGTTATTTTCTTATTTGTCCAACATATTGTATATGATGTTTATCATGTGTTCTAAATAACAGAGACTAATGCACAATTCAACTACAGGTCCTTGAATTCTATTTCACCTCAACATAACCTCTATAAAACTTTTAATTTGCCTAGTCTGTGTTCTTATAAGCAATTATAATACAGCGATCCGAAACTGTTCTGTTGATCAAGACTACAGTCTTTGATATTGAGTGAGGAACATAGATCTATGCTCACCCTAACAGACTGATGATATTTTTTGGATACTTTCCACATTTTCAAGTTACAGTTTGTACATAAAAAACAAAAGAAAAAACTAACACCCCCCTGAGCCATACCCCAATCCCCTACCCAACTCGCTGCACATACAGCCATGCCCACACAAAAACAAGTAAAAATTTAAAAAATTCTATACCTTTTACACTTTTTACTTTTTATTTTGCCAGTTGAAAACAAAAATGGCCAAATGAAGTCTGTCAGCTAAGTAACATATCTTTTATTTATCTTTATATACAGAATTAGATTCTGATTTTTGTGCAAAAAATTATAAGGTCATCTTTAGCTTTCTAATTGATACGTTCAAAATGTTTACATCATTTTATTTTTGCAAACTAAGATTGTACTGATTCTAGCGGTGTAAAAGTTACAATAACCTGTGATCAGTTATCTTTGTACTGTATCTTTGTACTTTGTACTCTCATGTGGGGGTTTTAACAAAATGTTATATATTCTTAAAAATCACAATCAGGCAGAAGTTATTTTGTTTCCCAAAAGAAGTATTTTCTTAACACTAATTTAATTCCCACAAAGACATACAAAATTTTGAGGTGGCCTGCTGTATTATTCAACTGAATTTGATGTAGAATGTTCTATATTTCTTTGAGGAAAAGGTATTATTAAATATATATGATGCGTTTTCTTTACAGTTGGTTTCATCTGTTATGATCTAAATAGGCATTAGATAAGAATTATATTTGCATAATGAAGTTATGAGTGTTTTCTCGGAATTCTCTGAATTGTTTTAAAACTATAAAAAGTAAAAACATAATTATTGGTAAATAAGCCACTGAGACTCAAAAATGCTTTTCCACTTCCATCTGAAAAAATTATGCAAGTTGATATAAGCTGAACTGTGCTAAACTCGGATAACAACAACAACCATTAAGTTGTTGGGGGTTTGATAAATACTGAAATGGACATGTTTTTAGTTTTTGTTTAAACCCATATGCATAATATTCACAGGAGGTGAAGATGAAATTAGGAGTTTATTTACAAACAATGAATGAATGTTTCCAGTAGGCCAGGGACCAGGAATTATGATCCACTAGATTACAGGGGATAAGCAGATTGATTAAGGTTGAAGTTTCAATAAAGGAGAAAACTGTGCAGACATGTTGCAGTTTTTACTGTTTGGGCTGCAGGGAACTACCAGGAAAAAAATTGCAAAAATAAAAAACGATAGGATCCAGGAGCCTTGGAGTCAATGAGAAGTTGACTGATCCGGGATTAAGGTTAGTGTTGGATGAGTGAACACTGGGTGGAGGGAGATCACTGTCAGGTTGTATTTATAATGGAGGGCGAGCAGGGTACGAAGGTGGATCCAGAGAAGCAGTCAACAAGAGTAACTTGATCCGAGAGGTTCTTGCGGAGGTTGGACAGCAACCAAGGGGCATGGGAGGATACTTCACCATGAAGGAACCAGGGAACAGGAACAGTAGAAAACAAACTGACAAGGTTTCAAAGCCAGAGTATCATGCTTTAGTTACAGCTAGAGACCAGAATGCTGGGAAAGCAAGAGAAATACCACACATAGTTATCACTCTGGCAAAGAAGAACTGGGAATAGGCTCCTTAGGAAGGACCTGAAATGCAGAACACCTGTCACTACCAGCACCAGTGGTGGCTCCACCTGAGGGTACATTTCATAAGCAGCAAAAAAGAAAATGGAAACAAAGGCGGTGTCCGAAAATCCAACTTAACCCCTTGAGTTTGGACGAGACCCCTATATTGAGCCTGATATAGTGGTTACGACATTTTATATGAGTGTCTGAATGTCTATTCAATCTAAAAGCAGTGGACTCAAAATTTCCCACAATGCACCTGTTATTAATGATAATTGTCATTGATGATGTGTCAGTTTATTATATCCTACTTGCGTGTCAGAACTAATGTTTTCCCTAGTAGTTTATCTAATTAAGACACTTCTTCTGTCCGGATATACACGTATCATCTTCATTCTGTACGTGGCAAAGATATGGGAATGGAATGAGAGTGATGTCCTTCAGCTAAGAACAAAGTGTAACATTTTGATAAAGCTGGAGCCATGGATGTCTCCTCATCTGCAAAGGTGTATGATGTAATTATGTTATGATGTGGAATATTGGAGTTGTATAAAATGCCTCTTTAACTTTTAATCGTGGCCATTTCACGAGAAGTGGTAAGTGGTTGGTAAGCAGCTGCCTTCTTTAACCCTGAGCAACTTCTCTGATCTGAGTAAGATTACAATTTCTATCAACTCTGCTGTCATGTCTCATGGTTAATTTTTACATATACGTTATGAAGTGTTATAGAGTTTGTCCCGAATTATCTCTTTTCAAGCAAAAAGAACCGGAGAGAGAAAGCTTCAAGCTGTAGACACATAGCTTTACTTTAACACACCTTGATACTGAATGTTTTTGCTCTCATGCTGTTTGGGATAGGCTTTGAAACTTGTGTAGATCTATTTTAATTATTTATTTACATGTGTTTCAGACAAATACGCCTATTTAAAATGTTTAAATTTTAATTAGCAAATTAAATAATGTATCTTTGAAACAAGATCTATTCCTCAAAGATAGACAAGGAAAATCCATATTCACAAAACTGGTATCAGCCAGTCAGACTTAAAAAACAAAATTGTTTTAAATGGTTGCTAAGTCAATGTAAAATACAATTTTGTAACATTTACATACACTTGTTAGTGCAACATTCTAGAATCTTGAGTTGAAATCATACATTAAGATTTTTTTTCGTAGCAAACGCACATCTGTACTAACCAGATATATATGACATTTAAAAACTCTCAGAGAGACTTTTATGTTTATGTATCTAGAACAAAATGAAGCCTATTTTATTCCTGATATCTAGAATGTAAAATTGACATTGCAACAGATATACAGTATGTGTTTGGCATTACTTCTTTGGAGTCACAGCCAGAATGTTCCCTTTCTGCTCAAATATAATATAATATATAATATAATATATTAATATTAATATATTAATAATATATATATAATAAATTACCTTTGTGTTTAGATATTATCTGTGATTTAGACTTTGAGGAACAATGGTGAAACCCCACAAATGTTTCCTCCACAGATGTCATCTATTGAGCCACAGGTGAAATTGAAGGGCCTTTACATACCACAACAAGGGTCAGCAATCCTGCTAAACTGGACAGAGAACAACAAGTACAAAGCAGCAAAGTGAGATTTTTCATGGTGCCAGTAAAACTGTTGGGATTTTCCACTCGTCTTTTTATTCTGCATAGAAATAAAAGTCACAAGGATATAACGCAACATAGTGCCTAGCACCATATTTAAAGAAGTAAAGTGTGTTTTGTTTTGAACAATCAATGGAGCAATTTAGTAAATGATGTAGATAAAGAAGTAAAAGCAGCGTAATTGCAAGACAACTATTCCCTTTAATAGGGTTTAGTCTGCACTAGCTGATAGAAGCGTGATTATATCACCTTTAACAGATAAAAGCCCTTGCCTTTATGTTAATGAATTCAAGTTAGCAATGACTGAGCTAATTTGTGATTAATTTCGACTTTTCTTCTATTTACATTTAGTTTAGATTTTTTTTTTTACATTTAAAGAATGACCTAAATTATGCTGTACATGTAAAGCTGGTCTTTTCAGTCTCCGGTTCTGGTCATCATTGAGATTTGTGTCAACTGCTGAAGATAGATATAAAGTACCTTAGCTATTCAATTCAAATGGTATCAGCTTTTGCAGGGTCAACACATCAAAATACAATGCAAGTCCCTTTAATGATATGCTAAAGAAGCATGTCAGCTAGTTGAGTCAGTGTTATTGGAGCAGTGACATATCTAAAACCTGCAGCACAATGGCCCTCTAAAGTTGTCTTACGGTAACTGTCACTCAGGGACACTGGACCCATAAGATAAATTGATCCTCGATAAACTTGTTTATCCCACAGGCTGTATCTGTGGGGTTAATGGTGCTGTTTTCTTCCTAGGTCCTCCATTTAACCTCTTAGAAAACTTTCCGTAAATAAATTCTAAGTGAGCAGCAAAGCAAGTTGGGGCTGTAATTCCTTTGTGTTGTTTGTATTTACAAGTATGCAAAAATGCTGTTAAGTGTTCTAGTTGCATATTTAACGGTAATTAGATGGAAGCAAGGGCGGAGAAGTGATGATATAAAACTGCAGAGAGCCTTACAGCTGAATTGTGCTGCTCTTAGTTATTTGTGTGTGGGTGTTTAACAGTCAGAAACTCCTTCATCTGCTGCTATGAACAGATTGGTAATGTATAACTTTTTAAGCTGTATTTTGAAATGTGAAATCCAGATTCATAAATTTTACTTAACAAAAATTTAGATTTGACATTGTTTTTATTTTTTACTAGGTCAGTGTTTTAATTGTGGCTGGACTGATCTTTGGTAAGTTTGGCCTGAAATGACAATAACTATTTTTGTTTTGTTTTTAGGTTGAATAAAAAAAACTATGTGTAGAATAACAAAAACTATTTTTTTTTTACAGAATCATGGGCTCAGAGACCAGAAATAGGTATATTTTTCAACCTAAGTAGCAGTTTGTTGATGTGACAGACCTTTTTGATGCATGTACTCCAATAATTATTTATGGCCACTGCAGATTTAAATTTAAGGAAATAAGTTTGTTTTTGATAGAATACAATATGATGTTTATCTCTCAAAGTATAGTAAGTCACTGCTAAAGGGGTACAACTTTAGTCAATTTACTAATTTAGGTTCACCTACTATACATTGAAAGAAAAAAGAAAAACACTATCCATAGATTTCATTATTATAATCACTGAAAAGATCATTCTTATAATTGCTTGAAAAATCTTAAATGTATCCACTTATATTTGTAACCATTTATATTCTGAGATTAACTCCAGACCTTTGAAATTGGAAGCCCCCCATGTCATCCCTCTAACTAAATCTCTATCAGATTCAAGTCCAGCTGGGGCCTTCTCCTATTATTACCTTTAACTAGAAGAAACATAAAAATGTAAAAGATTGCCTGAAGTTTTAATCTGTCAGGCATAGTAATAATTGGGAGCTCTACTGTAGCCTTGCAAATGAAAGTATCTGTCATTATAGCAGCTTGAACGTTTGTGGTCCTTTTCTAAAGTGCAATAAAACTATTGTATTTTTCTGGAATATGCTTTTCTAAAAGTTTATCCTAGCAACCTCTTTTAAACAGTTACCTAAAAAAAGACTGATTGCAATTCATTATTACTTCTCTAAAAACGTAACTGAGCTATTAACTCAGTTACTGCTCAATGAAAGTAACTTTTTACTTGCCAATCTATGCAGTCACTTTTTATGTTATTGGAAATTAATATAAAACTAGGTCTAGTTATGGAATATGGGGTGTTTGTTATTAATTAACAAATTAAGTAATTAAAAGTTCTACATCCTTGTGAGCAAAACTAAACTATCCTATTTTGATCTGTGTGGTTTGACAAGTGTTGTTCTTCCCTGGTTCAACTCTTTTTAATGTTCAATATAATATTTAAAAATCAAACAAAACAAAAATAAATGTGTTTTTTATTGAAAATTATTAATTAACTTTTCTCTTATTTTTGTCTCCAGTCTTGTCAGGCAAGATTTTATCAAAGGGGCATTTTTTTAATTATTATCTTAAAAGCATTCAACTGATTTTTCCTTTGACCTATACTTTCTCTTCTCCTTTTTAAACTCTATATAGGATTGCAATGTTATCCTGCCTTCAACCTTCGTAAGTAGATTTTCATTTTTGTTTTCTCAAGAATGCTGGACCCAATGGTTTGACAGTGATAACCCCTCAAGTAATGGAGACAGAGAAAATCTTAACAGACTTCTCAGAAAGTATCCTGGAAAGATCTGCCCAAACCCACTCTGTCTGGCCTGACTCCAGAGGAAGCAGGTGACATAATTAAAGTGTAAGTTAATCAAGCTTCATTTCCCCATTAAAGTTAAACATTTACAGTCAGAAAAAAAACCTTTCTTGGGAATTTTATATAGAGGCTCTTACGATATACATAACTAGTTTAAATTATGTATTTTTGTGATACCTTTATGGCACATGTCCTGTACAATTGATGTAAAATGAGAACTATTCTGATAGAAAAATCAATATGATTACTAAAATAGTATATGGTTTCACAAGTAAATTTGTGTTCACCTTTAAACTAAATGTTATACAAAGTCAGAGAGATCTCAAAATTTCAAAGGAGTATATTGTACAAAGCCATTATTGAGTAGAATGATAGAAACAAATTGACAGAAAACATATTCATTGAATAAGAAATTTATAAAATATCTATACATTTATTTCTGTTATTTACTAAGTGAAACATATAATATAGAATGATTTCACATTAAATGTTATTTTAGGTTTTTGTTTCTGGTGATTATGGGGATTTTCCACTCACAGCCAATGGAAACGTGATTACAATAAATATGTACAAACATTTTAAAACAGAAATGTGGACCTTATCGAAAGCATTGTGCTACCTGGAAAAGGTTATTTTAAAGTTACTTTTAATCTGACAATCTTATAAGAAGGCGGGCCCTTATTAATTGGTTATGACTGTATTCGCTAGTGCACAGTCAAATTATTGATCAGAGATATAAAACATAAAGCACAATGATGTTTTCCTAAAATAGATAATAAGAACAGAAGTGGTCAGAAAGTTTTCCAAGAGGTTCTTCCCAACTTAGTAACTCTAGCAGTACTATTTATTGAAAAACAGATCATAAAAACCTCACTGGGCATATTTTATTTCGGCTTTGATATATTTTGACATCTTCATTCTAAACATATACAATAACATAAAAAGTTACACTAATATCTCCTTTGATCAGACCATGTCTGTCATTTCATCAGCTTTAAATGGCCAGCAACAAATAAAAAATCAAGCATCACCATGCTTTTTTTCTGCAATGGAGTCTTACCTGATGTCTGCATAGAGACCATAGCTGTACAGAAGTTTTCTATTTCTTATAAGTTTGTACCAACTAGTCTTTCTGAAGCTCTAGGAGCTGTGTCTTCCAGGAAACTTGTCTAACTCTTCATATGCGTACTTTGGTTGGAAGCATGTCAGAAAAATCTAGTTAAAGCAAAATTATGTTTTAATGATGTCCTTTTCCCTTCTAGATTATAGTCCCAACAGTGCTCACTGGAACACTCAGAAATCTAGAAATAAGTCTGTTATCTATACATCAGGGTGTTTCATCTATGAGCTTGTAAAGTTCTTGAGAGAGGTCTTTTGTAATTCATCATGAGATTTTGTGTGAAATTTTGGTGATTATAAATCTTCTTAGGCTGCAGATGATCAGTAAGGATTTAAGCAGTTTAATTAAACTTCCAACTTACTGGATTGCTTACTAAATGCATACAGATTTCTGTGATTTTCTTTACTTCATATGTGTTTTTGTTTTTCATTTTAAACACATTCATGTCTCAATTACTTATTCCCTATACCATTCCACTTTATTATTCTTTATAACTCAAGTGATGTCAATTTCCTTTCAGTATGTCTTCTCAAAATATTTTGCATTTACTATACCATGCAAGATGTTTCTCATGTATCTTGCTGTTTCCTGTACAGTACTTTGTTTGTTGTATAGGTGGTTTCCTTACTCTATTATCTTTTTATTACTAACCTAAGTACATTACAAAATAGTGCTCCTTTCAATTACGTTTGTTAAATTATACTTTTTTTTTCCAGGAGCGACACAAACACAGGATTCATATGTCGAAAGAAGGACCAACCTGATGGGTATTGTGAGGATTACAAGGTTCGCTTCAGCTGCCCCCCTCCTTACTGTGCTGAGACAGGTAACATACATCTAGCCAATGATTGTTCATGAAAATTAACTTTTTTTGTTCCTTACACTTTTACAAAAGGATGGGATGTTTATTCTTCTGTCTTTGTTCTCTGTAGTGTGCTGGACGAAGTGGTATGATAGAGATAACCCTTCTGGAAGTGGTGATTGGGAGACTCTGAGGTCCCTGCAAAATGAATACAAGGGAGAAATTTGCAATACACCTCACTATATCGAGGCTGTTACCACTGACACTTTGACCCCAGCTATTTACACAGGAGAGAACTTTTATGCGTACGTTGCCTTGAAAACGACATCTTGATACAGAAACAAGCACTACCACAACTAAACAGCAACTAAATAGCATTTATTATGCCTTATGAAGTATTTAAATACTATTACGGTATATAGAGGCTTTTTTGTTTTTGTAGTCTGCATGATTCAAGCAATAAATTGGTACTGAAGGAAAACACAACACATGTAAGACGTTAAAGCAGATTCTAACATAACAATTTTAAATGTACATTTAAACAGAATTCTGTGAAATAATCATCAAAATATTTTTTAGGAAACATCTCTCAATCTATATTTGCCTTTTCAAATTATACAGAGGTTTGTTAACCTAGAGTCCAATTGTACACACCTGACTATTTTGAGAATAATTTGTTAACATTCCACACATATTGTAAAAAACTTGAAAAAAAGTACTGATCTATGTTTTTCAAACATACCAAACCAGACAGTAAGCACTTCAGAGCCATAATATATTCTTCTCACTATCATTGTATTTACTGTTTTTCAGCTACAATCCAACAGTAGGTTTCGTTTGCCGCCAAGAGGACCAGAAGGATCGGACCTGCAAGGATTACAAAGTCCGGTTTGGATGTCCCTGTGATAACTGAGTCAAGACAACCAAAATGAGGATAAAAGCATTACTGTCCTGGGGTATTCATTTTTCTGGGTGTAGATCATGTCCTCTGTTGTTTACTTAGGTTGAATCTTGCTATAATTTAGTTGCTTTCTCAGTTTTAATCAATCTAAGTAAGGTGTTTCAATTTAAGTTAATTCCTTTGCTATTCTTTTACTCTCTTAGGTTATTCTTGGTTTCAGTTCCTTTAGACTTTGGATTTACTCCATAATGGATCTGTTTTAGTTTTAAAAGCCGTAGCCAAAAAGTCTAAAATCCTTTTTTTTGTCTGTATGTTTCTGCGCTGTTTTCTTAGAATATAATAAAGTAGAGCTGCAATTTTATGAACTAACAAATGAAAGAAAAAAACTCAAATTTTTGTGCAAAGTTTGCCCACCAAGACTTAACAAACAAGTCTGTACGTCCACAATGTCCAATTCAAATTTAAAGCGACACATCGAGTCAAAGCATTCGAGTTATCTTGGGAAATATCTGCTTCTGAATCAGGAAAGAAAGAAATCATTTTTGATACAAATCTTTTCAACAGAACCTTAATGTACCTGTATGTTTCTGAAGTTCTGTTTAATTTGTCTCAATAAAGGCTTCACTGCCATAGAGTATACATTGACTGCATCTAGTGTTTTCGATTTCTTTTTATATATTATGATCACACATTTAAAAGGTGAAATATGTGGTTCTTTTGTGTAGGATTGTGGCTTAATTTACAAAATGAGGTAGAGCTAGCTCATTTATAGGCTTGTGAACATAGTTCATGCTTTAAAATGGTGAACTGTGACCATCTGCTAGGTAATTTTCATCTGTGTGAACTGAACTTTGAGCTTGTTCTTTTTAATTATGAACAAACACAAAATTGCTGAGAACCTTTAGACTCTCTCAAGGTTTCATTTTTAAAAGCATTTCTGTTCATTTTTCCTACCTTTTTACTTTTTAAGGAAAATTTTATTATATCATGGCATGCCTTAACCATTAAAGAAGTGTTAATATTTAATAAAATCTTGATTTTATTTTGTTTGAAAATAACAATTAATTATGGTTGGTCTTCAGTTGTAAAATATATTTAATTGCTGTAGAAGTTAAAAATCTTAGTATTTACCTATGTGCCAATACCTTTGAAGTATTTGTCAGTATTTAGTTTTAAACTCAGAGGGGGCGAAAGAAAACCTTAATGTTAAAAAAGCATCCTACTCTGAGTCCATTTCTATCTTACCAGGAAAATTAAAGAGGAAGTACGAAATCCAATGTGTCTTTAATAGGCCTACATTATGCTACATGCACATATACATTTTAGAACCAGCAGTCTAAACTGATTTAATTCTCAAAAGTAACAAACAGTGTTTTAACACAAATGTGAAATCATGAATAAGAATCCAGCTAATTAGAATTTCCTCAGCATGTTGACCTTAACAAGCACATCTACAATATAAGCAGCATAATTGGAGTTGTCTTTTCTTCCCCAGCTAAATTTATTCCCATTTAGAGCGTAACATGGTTTGCCTTCATAGTAGAGTTAGTATAATAACCTTCCTCTCTGCTCTCCAGCTTAAATAACACCACTACCATGGCTCCTGCAAAATTGCCCCTGGCATGAGGCAACACTCACATATAAGCTCGCAAACCCAGAATGTACCAACACGATTTCACACAAGTGAACATGAACAGCAAGGAGGGAGACGGAAAATACAAGATGATTCCTGCAACCTGAGCAGCTTCAACATTTCCTCAGGAGATGAGTTGTAGCGATAGGTACCTAGCAGAAAGTCTGTGGTGCATTGCACAGAATGTGAAATGAGCAGGGACAACTTTTCCACGTAATGCTCTCGGAGAAGCTTGTGTTCTTTGGGTAGCTTGCCAGACTTGCATTGCATCAACTGTTCTGCATTTGGTGCCATTTAGCTTTCAGTATTCGTGACTGTCTTCCAGTGAGACTTTGCAGAACAAAGGAAATATACAGAGACAATCAAGAGGGAGGAAGAGTGGATGCAATCTGCTGGTAAACCCCCACACCCACCTCCAAAAACACACTCACACACAAGCACTCAAACCTGCATCAATCTCTATGATAAAACTGAAGAGGCAGATTCTTGCAGTGGTAGTGAAATAAAATATAATGTAAAAAGTGAAGAGCAACAGAAGTGTCGAACCTTCAGAGCATTACGGCATTCTATTCTCTTCTATTAATCTCCCACTATTCCAAGTCTGTGAAGGCCTATTTATAGACCAGGACATGATTAAGTGGTTTAGCACTGCGCCACAAAGGGAACCAAGCTCATTTTCCCTTTCACGTCTTCTATCTCAGTTACTTTTCCCTACTCCTATCCCTTCTCTCTTTCTATTCCTGTGTGACTTTAAGTTATTTTTCAGCTTTTTTCTTTATCCCAATGTATTTATAAGCATAAACTACATTTCATTGCTCATCCAAGCTTCCTTTTTGGATGTCATTGAACGTTTGTATCAGGGGATAGTGATAAGTCCTTAAAAATCTATTTTCCCTATTAGGCAAAAGACAAAGGGATTAACAGTGCTAATTGTGATTAGGATATGCAGAATGAGTGACAACCTTGACTTAGCAAGATGGAGCTCCCTTCCACCAAGTTTCATCACTCCGTCAAGCTGGATGCAGACTGAAAGGTGCCCAATGAGTTGGGTACAGAGTAGGAGAATATCCGCAGTGGGAAACCTGCTTGAAAGGTGTCCTTGAGTGGAAGTAGAGCACAGCACAGGATAAATTGTTAAGCTCATTTTAATGTGCAAAGACATGATTAATGGAGGAGTGGATATAAGAGGAGAAAAAAGGGAGAGAAAAGAGGAGTGACCTCAGCTAGCTTAAGACTGTCCTCGTTCCTTTAACTTTTTTTTCCTACTCAAACTAGTGATGGCATCCATGAAAGCAGCCCTCTGCCTTACGTCTTAATGCTCAGGCTTTGTTGGCTGATCAACATCCTGTTTTGTTTTTGTTTTTTTTGTGTTTTTTTTTTTGTTGATGCCTATGTAAAAAAAAAAGAAAGAAAATCTGCAGGACTGATCTGGCAAAAGGCTTCAATGTTAATGCTGAGGACATTCTATTGCAACTAGCTTTCTATTGCAACTGCTTCAAGGACTTGTATGATAATGGCTAGAAAATATTTGAAGTGTGAATCGATATTTTCAAAGAAGCTTGTGTTGTTTTAAGCGTGGAGTGGAATGCTCTAAATTAACCCTGGTTCTCAGGAACTCAGACTTCCACTTTATACTATCCTCATAAACATTTTCTTCTGACTTGATGTATAAGTGCATAGAGATACAGGGTAAGTCTTTAAAAGCTTCGCCACTGTCCAACAGAAAAAAAAACACTCTAATTACAAATTCCCTGTAAAGTTGTCATATTTCATTGGCAAAAAAAAAAAAAAAATGTAACCCACCAGCCATTTTCCCTCTACTTGTTAATGATCATTTAAAGAACTGCATACAGGTTATTTTCAACCACATAACTATCATACTACTTAAATATTTATTATCAGTCTAAAACATTTGGTGCACCTTCTTGGCAGCTGATAAAAACCCCTCTGCAGCAGCAGCCAGTACATGTTCCTTGAGCTATTTTTTGATAAATCCCTCAGTTGTTATTTTTGATGATTCCTTAATCCATGCGTCAAACAAATTTTTTATCTAAATAACCATTTATTGTATTTATGATGTTATAATTGGATTTACGGTGGATTAAATGTAAAACAAATGCCTTTCCCTTATAATTCAGGAGTGAAAAACCAACATTAAATCTCTCTTACCAAGGCAATAAGAGCCTAAAAAGCTATTAGAGCATGTCTCCTGAGACATGAAAAGGGCATCATGCCTTTACCTTAACGGAAGGTGAGAACAGTACCAGAGTATTTTCGCTCCAACAACTTATATTAGTTGTGCCAGCTTCTGCCTTTTAGCTGCTCCTCTGCTTTAGCTGTTGGGCACATTTTGTTTCTTGTCACACTAGCTGATCCCTCGATTAAAAACATTGAATGCTGAGAGGGTGTTATCCCTGTTCAGTGTTTTTGATCCTCAGTATCGGGGTGACTGCTAGCCCCTCTCATCCCTAGCTGAAACAGTTGATCCAAGGATCTTTGTGGAAATGATTGCGCAAGTGCAATGGGTGCTTAAACATGCCAAGTAGGATTGCCTGCCTAAAACCTCATGGGGAAAAAAATGAAGGGGCACATACCATATGATGCCACTATTTTATTTTTTTGTCTAATACTCTATGGAGAAAGTTCAATACAGCTTATAAATGTAGCCACAGTTAGCAATAAACATGAGGTCCAAATTCTATATAGTTCTAAGGAAATTCATTTTTGATCAATTTAACTTCGAACATGTAATTAACAAATTCATTAATTGCAAAACTAATGAGTGGTTAGTTTTCAGAGATGGCAAAAGTACTCACTTTCCGTACTTGAGTAAAAGTACAGATACTTGTGTTAAAAAATACTCTGGTAAAAGTGGAAGTACTGATTAAACTTCTTTACTCAAGTAAAAGTAAAAAAGTACAGGCTTGTAAATTTACTTAAAGTATAAAAGTAAAAGTAGAAACCACTTTTTTCATGCCGTTGCCTACATTTTAAATGGATGTCTGCCAATAGGACTAGATCTCCGTTGTGTTCATTTTCAATCATCTCGTCGTTCATACTACTGTGTTTCTAATTTTTCTCTCTTATTTCTTATCCTTTCTCCCTCTTTTCTATCTATTTATTTCTTTCTCGCCTTAAAACTTATCCACTCTCCCTTTCTAATCTCACTCTCTGTATCGATGTGTGTTGTATACAACTTTATTCTCTGAAACATTTTCGATAAAGTTCCTCATATAATTGCCAAGCAGCACCTCATGGCAACAACCATAATGGCCTGCTTGGGAGAGCAAATCTGTCTGGCTAATGTCTATCTTTCAGACATTGATTCCCAGGACACAATAAAAAAATGCACGTCCCATCACACACGGAGGTCGATCATAGCGATGACAGTTTTACTACTGAGTGGTTCTGTGAGGTGGAGGACTTCTCTTAAGTCTTCACCAGGGACAGAGAATAGCTGGAAGGAGAAGAAGGTTCAGGAGGCCAGCGACCATGAGCTGTACTGATTAGGGCCATTGACTCTATGGATGCCCAAGGCCCCTGGCGCAGCCAAGAATCCTGGAGCATTTGACCACAGAAAGGGGACAGTTTTTGAGTGGTAAGTTGATGTCAGAGTTTTAGATGATATGTTATACGTAGATTAGAATAAAATGTAAAAACAATGGCCTGTTTCTAGACTAAATCTCTACAAGTGGGTTCTTATACTACACTC